GACAGCGTGCATCAGGTTGCGGCTGCTATGCCGGGGCCCCCATGTCAGGCTGCATCAATTGCTTTTGTGAGGCAGCACTCTCGCCCTCTGCTCAAGGCTTGTAAAAAAATTAGCCGATGGGGCACTTTACAGAACGCCGTCTGGGATCTTTGGGCCGATGTAGTGAATCCTCGCGCGAAGTCGGTTGTTGGCGCCACACTCCCCTGCTCCTGCCCGCTTTGTCAGGTCCGCCTGCCCAGTGTACACGCCCTGGCAGCGCGCTTGCATAGGAAGCACAGTGTTGTTAACGTCCTGACACGTTTTACTCAGGGTACCGTCTGTCTTTGGTGCAATTGTGAGCAGCACTCGACGGACCGCCTTAAATACCACCTGCGTGTCAACCCAGAGTGCGTACATGGCCTCAGGGTCACGGTTGGCGAAGCTTATGTATATGGTAGTGGCACGAAGCGTGCAGGACCACGTGCTCACCGAGGTCTTCCTGCTTACCGACTGCCGGGCCCACTCAACGCAACTCCTGCGCAAAGGCTGGCTGCGCTTGAAGGACGCCGCTGTTCCACAGCTGAGCTCACTGAAGAATTGCGCAAGTCTACTGGGGCCGCCCACGTCTACTCGTGGTCAGACACAGCCCTACCGGTCACCAGTCTGGACTCAGCCCGCGTCGATTTGACGCTGCCTTCGGCGGGTACAACTCCTGTATCGGTCACCCACACTCCCGGCCTGCCCTGTCTTGGGGGCGTTCGGTGGTTCACTCTTCTTGCGCCCTCCACGGTTTCCGCCTCTGACCTTTTCGTGCCGTCTCCCTTCTGGCCTGGGTTGCTCCGTGCTCCCTTTGCCTGTCAGTTGCCGGCTGCTTGGCATCGATATTGGAAGATATGGCATGCCATGCATATGGTTGCTCCGTGGTCGCCTCATGCAGTTTCTGCTTCTTCTGTCTTACGAAAAGCTGTCGCCGGCCCTGCTGATCTCGGCTCTCGTGGCCCTGCACCCTCCCTCCTGGATTTCCTTGCTGCCACTGTCGCATTTCGCTCTGTCTGTGATGCCCTTCGTGAGCATGGTCTCATTTGGATTTTTGGCACGCCTAGTCGAGCTGGTCTTTTGCTCCTACGTGCCCTTCTTCCTTCAGCTCGCTTTTGCTTCCTGCGGCTGTCCGGCTCTGCCGTCTTCGTTGTTTCGCACACCTTGCGCCCTCCGCCCTTCTGGCGTCGAGACCTCGGTGACCTGCTTTCGTGCCGCCCTGGGGCTGCCTCCCCTCGTGTTCTGCCGGTACGTGCTTCTTTTGTTTACAGGACTCGGTCGCCGGGTCATGGCTGAGCCATTTCTCGCCCGTTCTGTTTCTCTTTTTCCAGTTCTCTGATGGCTGTGAGCCCATAGTGGGCTTGCTTTTGGCCATGCATGCCTATCGCACCGGATTCTGCCCGCAAGCGCGTGAGTGAGTGAGTTTAGGGCTTCGGGCAAAGCTGGTTTCGAGGAGTGATTTGGGAGTTAAGACGCCAGATATCCTGCATTCGCCGGAGTCGGGCGTTGGGGAAAAAAGTGCACCGGCCAGTCCAAACTCAAACCGCTGAACCGTGGAACCAAGTAGTCTTGAATCCGATCATGACCCTCAACCCTGAACCCAAAACACTCGTTTTGGCCGCAGGCTTCTACAATCCCCTAAACCCTCTTTTTGAACCCAGACTCTGCTGATCAGCTGGGAAATACCGGGAAACAGCACTGCCTGATTTCACACAATCCTGCATCAAACGAAGTCTAAACCCTAAACCCCAACGCCTGAAGGACCCTGTTTCAAACCAATTCCGCCGACCTCGGCTTGCGCCCTCCGCTTCTCTTCGTCCAGCAAGCCTAAGAGAGGGGCCTTAACATTTAGAACAGGGGTGTTGAGCTCTCACAACTGGGACAAGCCGGGCGAGGTCTGGTTTAGGGTTTAGGGGGCCTTAGTATTTGGAACAGGGGTTTTGGGCAATAGTGCAAACGAACTTTTTTATGGGGAAAAAGGGGCATGCTATAGAATGCTCTAGTTGCATTAAGGACTACAAGCAGATATTATTGGGATATCGTGGCTGATATTTCCGAGCTCTCTATACAAGGGGGCAGACTAGTGTTATTGGTGTTATTTGCTCTGCTTACTACTCTCACTATTTGTACTATTTTCCGAATGTTCATGCTCATCACATCGTTGTTGTGCTTTAGTCTTCGTGGTGCTATTATGGTTATTGCTCTGTTCACAGAGACACTCTTCAGGGCAGGGCTTCGGGTCTGAGGCCCCTCAAACCCTAAAGCTCCCTCGGCCTCTGAGGCTGGGGGTTTTTTGGTTTGCTTCGGGGTTTCGTTGAAATTGGGCGGGTTTGGGGTCTGAAAGCTTCGGAGCCGGGCTGGCAGCAGCAGCCGCAGGGATTGTGGAGGAGCTTATAGGGCTTCGACCCGCACACTCGCACCGCCTCCTAGGTTCACGCTCTCACAACTCGGACATGCCAGGCCTTTTTTTCCCTCCTACATGCCAGGCTTTAGGGTTCAGGGTTTAGGGTTTGGAACAAAGGTGTCGGGTTTTGGGAGGGTAGCGCTGTGCACCGACTCCGCGACGGTACAGGTTAAAGTTGGAAGGCAGTTTGGGTTTGGGACTAGTTATGATAGACTATAGAGCAATTAAGTGCTGCTCGACGCGAAAACTGGTATAAACTTGCCAAAAGGTTGGCTTGTTGCTCAAGGGGTCCTGAACCTCAATCCGGATACCATTGGGCAATCAAGAAAAGGCCGTCAAAGTGAAGCGATGAAAGCAGCTGCCAGCGGCCTGTTGAAGGCCTTACATCACGGAAAAAACGCCAAAGCAGGTTATGGAATCTGTCTTGCGCCTGCGTGAACAAGGCAAGCCTTGGCATAAGATGAACCGAAACTCATTCACGATGTCTCAGCTTCCTTCTGCTAAGAGAGGTCAAAGGGAAGCCTACACCGCCACACCCACATGTTCATGGGTTTGGGGTGTAACTGTGTAAAATGTTTCAAATAATAAGACAAGAACAATAAGAATAAGAAGAACAATACTACCACTACCAATATACTCTTAATACAATAACAAAACTAATAATTACAGACATAATGATACCAATAATGATAAGAAGAAGAATATACATATATATATATATACATATATACATATATACATATAGAAATGAAAATGCATATACATATGAATCTGAACACAAGAATAGTCATAAATATAAACACAAATAAACAACCACAACCACCACAACAACAACACATAAACACTTGAACAAATAAAACAATGACAGCACATGTTCTCCTAGCAACAAGAAAGAACCTATTATTGTTATCATTAGTATAGTAATTATGAGAGTTATGTACGGGCTACAGGGGGATGTTAGCACTACTTTTGCATTTGCATGAGAAACACAGTGGTGGTTTTCTTCTGGGGTCCCCGAGCGGCGTTTCAGCTGCTCTTGCTCACTTTCCTGACATCACTCACAAGCAATCGTAATACTATTCATAGTGGTACTTGTACCAGTACCAGTACCCACTAGGTAGTGGTACTAGTGGTGGTGGTAGTAGCGGTAGTAGTAGTAGTAGTGGTGGTGGTGGTAGTAGTGCTAGTAGTACTACGAGTAGTAGTCGAGAATCCTGTGTCAATCCTTCCTAAAGCAGGAACCACAGCAGGCTCATGGAGGGGTTTCAGTTCCTGGGCTGTCGCAAGAGGTTGTCATGCCAGTCTGGATCATTTCCGGAGCCGAGACATCAACGGCTACCGTGACACGCTGTTTGCTTTTGCACCCCGCTCCGAGCTACACCAAGACAGGTCTGCTGGTTGCCAGAAGGCTCGGGATCTCGAATCTTGAATTTCAGATTGTTACGCGGGATAAGGGGTCCAAGGTTGGACAATCTTACTTGCTGCTGGCATGCGTAGATTCTCCAAAACTCTTCTCTCCCGATCCGCACACACACACACAAAGGAGAAGACCCAGTGTAGGCCAGCAACATGCTACATCTTACTGTCAGGCATGTCTGAGCAGATACAGGGAAGTCGTCAGCATTCTCTGTACAGCATCCCTGCTCTAAAGGAAGCAGTTGGCCACACATGCTGCAGGTTGGAGTGCTAGGCATGTCGTGGAAAATTGGATTTAATTACTGTGCCTTGCAATGCCCAGGCACATAGCGCGAGCCTCACTGCGCAGACACACCGGACTGCCTTCGCCACATGACCATGTCGAGTCAAAGACGCACTCCCATGTGTTCCGGGATGTTGGGTAGGACTCGCGAAGCGTGAACTCAAAGCCCTCGATAAAGGTGCACCCCCCTCCCACAACCTGATAACCATCAGGACATTGGGCAGAAGCATTGTCACGACCTTCCCTCCTGACCATGATGACCTTCTCATTCCCCTCAAGCTCCAGACACCATCCACGGGCTACTGTATAGTGGACTGGCTCCCCACTCCACTCGCCAGTTCCGAGGCATCGGAACGTGTTCCGATCGTCAGGAAACGCAGCTAGGATCTCGGCGCCATCGTATGGCAAAAACTTACTGCAAGCACCACCTATCAACGTTCCCACCTCGCACTTCACATAGATTCCGTCACGCTGCGTTGTCTTGCCCTCCGCGAAAGCCTTATGAACCCTCCTAGGCCCACATATCGTCTTGTGAATGGCCACCAAGTCGAGAGGTGGAGGCCATGGCCCCTCGCAGGAAAGGCTCGTGTCCGATGTGAAGTCTGAGTTCAAGTAGGGTGGCGGAGTGCAGCCCGCCTTGCTGCAACCGCCGCAGCCCTCCTTGCATTTGCAACCGCCGCCGATCGCGAAAGGCACGGGGCAGTCGCCGTCGGTGACCGACACGTTTTCTGGGGGCACAATCTCCTCATCCACGGTCTCCTTGAAGTCTTGCACTCGCTGCCTCTCGGCTGTGGAGAGCAAATTGCGCAAGTCAGGGATGTCGAAAAGAAATCCGGCAGGAATGGTCAAGTTCTCAGGCCACTTGGGTGACTCTGCAAACCACTAAGGCTCGCTGAGCTCGCCTGGATAAGCCGGAAAAAATTGATACCTGATGCTGCTGAATAAGCCCGGAGGATCGACGCAAGTCCACAATGGATTGACGAGGACTCTGAGCACGATACCGTGAGCAACTCGGCGGAGATATTTTCGGCACCACCTCTCGACCTCACTCGGCACCCGAGTGAAATAATCACGGCGTCGGCGGTCATATGGCTTCGTTGTCGTGGTTGTCGTGGTTGGCTTCGGCCCGGGCGTACGGAAGACGGGGCGGAGCTCCAGAAAGAGTTGCAACCGCACCTCCATGGTCGGCGGGGCATCCGGGCTGTCACCTGCGCAAACTCGCTTTATCGTCGAAACCGGTGCTTCAAGTAGAGTAATCCTTGCAACAAAAAAAGGCATCTGTCCTCTTCTATGTCGTGGCACATCGCTTTATTTATATTATGTCAAGCCAGCGGATACCAGCCTGGTAGAACCTTCAGAAATGGCTGGACAGTGATGTAGAAGGTCAAGCTGTCAACAATGAGATCATTGGGGTACGTGGATCGCGGCCAGCCTGCGTCGTCAAAGCCCGGGCTTTTCAATTCCTCCAGCGACCATGGCGGCGAGATGTAGAGGCCGCTGAAGTCCTGCTCCTTCCAGAAACGGTTGCAACCAGTGGGAAAGGGCAACGGCAGAATTAGCTTGATGACTTGCGAGGCCCAGAGCGTCATGGGAAAACGCGTCACGCCCAGAGAAGAGGAGACAGTCAGGTAGTCCGTGAAGCTATAAGTCTGCGACATGAACGTGTAATCGATGCCAAAGTACTCCTTGTTCGAACCTCCCTTCTCCCAACTCACCAGAAGGTCCTCCCAAAGGATACCAGGGCTTTGGAAATTGCCCAAGACGAAAGTCCAGTCACCTCCGTTGATAGAGAAGGAATTCTCCTGTGCATCGCACTGCATCTTCTCCGCAAACTCTTTCGAAGAGATGGGCTCGCCAGAGGCTTTCGCTGTCTGCAACAAGGAAGTGTCACCTGCATCTGGGCGACTGACGCAGCTCTCGCCGCATGGATCCGGAATCACCTCTCTGCTGACCGCCAACTGGCACAGCGCAAGCCAACGAACCAGCCGGGTTGACACCATGCTGGTTCAACTACGACGCTCGTGGCCCCCGAGGCCTCTTGCTATGTGCTCGAGAAAGGGCGCCCGGGCAGCGTATTGGCGGTGAGCCCTAAATGAGGCCTACTGTCGAAGGAAAGTTCACGCAGAGCAGCCTGCAAGTACTGCCAGCCCAATCAAAATGCAGCACAGCCCTTGCCTGGCAGAAGATCTTTTCCCGGTCGGCACGGGGGGTCATAGAGCTGGGCCGGTGGTTCTCCTTCGCCTGGAGACTCCAATCTAGAAGCCAACAGGTTAGGGTTGTGGTGTTTGTAGGTAGGAACCCTACCGACACACCTAAACCCCACACCCGGCCCTAAACCCTACACCCCTTAAACCCTAAACCCTCTGTCCATATCAAGGCCCAGGCAGCCGAGGAGGCTCTTCGCAAAGACTTGCGCCTCTCCGATTCTGCCTTGTCTCAGACATCGACATTGAAAACCCCCATCCGAAATCGTGAAGAGCTTTATGGTTCAGGGGGTAGGACTGCAGCTTAAGGTTTAGGGCTTAGGATGATCGCAAGGAAAGGTGTAGCTGCCTCGATCTTCTGAGAGAGCTTCTGGGCATGTCATGCCCTAGAGCTACAGCGATTGCAAAAGGAAGAACCCTATAGAATAATTATAGTAACAACAATAATAACAATATCAATAATTTTAACAATAACAATAGTAATAATAATAATAATAGTAATATTAGTAATAGTCTTAATTGCCGAGGCCTGCGAGGATCCTGGTAGCACACGTGCCACATTCTAGAACCCTCCTACATACCTTCAGTTCAGGAACCTCGCAGAGGAATCTTTACAGCACTCCTTATGGTACCTCTGACGATACCCTGATAGCCCATAAAGGAGTCCCGTAAAGGTATCCATCCGTCCTGCGAACCGCTTCGGGGTCTCTCCGGCCTGCTTCGGGGTGGCGTCCATCTCCTCGAAGATGCTGAAGCCGTTCGCGGCATTTTCCACAGACTCCTGGCGTCAGGAGCTTAGGGCTTAGGGCTCGCAGTGTAGGGCTTAGGGGTTTTAGGGCGTTTTAGGCCCTAGAATTGAGATTTAGGGTGTTTTTGCTGTTTGAGGTCTCTTTTCCGTCTCGAGGAGTTAGACGACGTGCCACAACTATGGCTGAGCCCGTTCGGGACCATACCTGCGCCGCAAGGGAAGGAGGTTCAGAGTTCAGGGTTTAGGGGCTCAAGATATGACCTGATACGATATGATATGATTGTGGGTATGATATGATGTGACTTTGATATGATGATATATGCTAGGATATGACAGGACATGATGTGCTGATTGCATCCTGAAGCTCGCGACTGCGAACCTGTGCAACGCTGACATGCAAAGCCGTCCATGAAGCGCTCGGTAGCAGTCATCACCACGGCCCGGTCGTCCATGGTAGTTGGGATTTCATAGGAACTTGGCTGGGCAAAGGGGCGAAGTACGAAGGCAGCAGGCTGTTGACATCTGTCGCGCATGACTCACCATGACTTCGTGCACAAGCCCTTGTGAGGCAGAAGCCCGGGACCAATGGCACTCTCCTCCCCCTTGCTGAAGCGAGCAGACGACATCCTGCCCGGCAATGCAGCGCGCTCAAGATGTTGAAACGTGAGAGTGCTTGGCTATGCGACAAGTCATTGGCTGCAGACCCTTCCAAACAAGCATTGGACACGTCGCGTGGCCTCGACCACGTGGACATAAATGGGGCAGACTCTTGCCTGCAAAGCATGAGTCAATGCAAGACTTGAAGGGACTGGCGGCTACCATCGGAACCAAAGGCCTGCGGGCAACAGGTCAGGGCCGAGAACGGCTAAGCACTCGGCCGCTCGTTCGAGCCCAAAGTGCTCCTCCACACAAAATCTTTGACACAGGTCTCCTTGTGGGCGATAACCACCACCCACGACCGCCGCCGCCGCCACCACCACTGCCACCACCACCCCCGACGACGACGACAACGGCCGATGCCGACGACCAGGACGAATACCACAACTACAACCCACGAGCGTCTGCGATTCCTATGAAATACACACGTACGGTCATGTCACGGTAGTGTAAGCTGACATGCTATGAGCCGAAACTTGCTGACGTGTGGCAATTAGGGCAGGCAGGATTCCGACTTGGAGGTAGTGAGTTGCAGTTCATAACAAGTGCTATTGAGGCCAATGCCTCCAACTGAGTGTCGAAAGGCGACGTGCCTCTGAGTTGAGAGCTTCATAGTCGTCTAGAGGTGCCGACAGCTGGCTTCATTGAGGGACGGGCACAGATGCCAAAGCTCACGAGCCCACATGGCTTTTTCTCGCCACGAGAGGCTGCGTAAACCTCAATCTGCGCGACAAAGGCCCGGAATGCAGAGCCTGTCCTCTGCAACTCCGCCCTTGCAATCAACCGCTTAGCAGGTCCGAACCTGAAAGTGATCGCAGGGAAACCCTTCGAGGGAATTAATTCGCGCTTCGTGCTCCTGCTTCTAAAAAAAGACGGCCCCGAGATGAAGCCGTCGGACTGAACTTAGAACAGGAGCACAGAGAGCGAGAGAGTTGCTGAACCCTGAAGCAGGCGAGCTGGGTACAGTTGCGGTGCGCTAGAGAGTCCAGAGGCCTACAAACTTACTCACTTGGAAATGGGATCACCCTGAGCACCCACTTGAGTGCAGTAGAACACCGCTAAAAAACTCTTCCTGCCTAGGTCTGCAGTTAAAAGTATTTTCCTGTACACTGCAAGCTGTGCCTTTGACACAATGCCTGTGCGATGCTCAATCAGACACGGCACAGGCACTCTAAAACCCTGATCTCAAGAAGCCTTGACCAGGGATGCAGCGGGACCTGGCAGCGTGTCAGCTGGCAGCAGCAGTCGCCGAAGAAAGGGAAACACAACGCATCAACTGGCAATCCGGAAGGCGAGTCGGCACAAGTGGCGGGATGTGGCATACGGGTCGAGCATAAATGCTCTCGCCCCCACCCCCACCCCCTATGGGATGCCACCCCTGTCCTGTACGGAAAGCGGCAATCTGCGCAGTTTCTCCCGCATCGGACATGAATTCCAATGCTTAATCATGAGGGTTGTATGGTGATGGTGATTGTGGCAGATATTCTTTTGATGGTACTGATTATGAAGATGGCGACTACAATGATGATGTTGAGAAAGATGTCAAAGATGATCCGATTGTCGACTCGCGTCGCCGTCTAGAGCAGCACAACATCATGAGCAGTATCACCGGTGCCACAGCAAGAAGGAAGATAAAGAGTAACCGTAACAGCAGTTGAGTCACTAATCGTGACAAGAGGTCCTTGTGGTACACGTGTTGCATACTCCAATTTAGGTCAACCAAAGCCTCAGCTGAGGGGGGTGCAGCGTGATGCGGCGGGGAAGCGTACCACCATGCACCACCACAGGCCCGGGGGGCGGCAGCCCTTGCATCAGGAATCCTCTAACCCCGAGCCCATTTCATAATCTTGGCATCAGCGCAGCTCAGAACATCAATACAGCAGCAAAGCACCTTTTCTAGCCGCATCTGCCACTAAGCTTTATCGGAAACGAAATGGGAGTAAGTGACAACGGCACAAATGCTCTGACTGGCACATGCTCCCTTTCCCATGCCATCATAAAGAGTCAGGCTGCCAAGCAGTATTTCTACATTCCTGTACAGACAGCCCATTATATGTTGCGGATGGCTGCCACTTGTCTTCCTGTCCAGTGCTACAGTGTCTCAACCTCCGTGGTGATGAACTGCATACCCACATCAGTGCCCTGGGTTGGCATGGCATGCATCATGCTTGGGCGTGCATGCACCACACACCATGTAAAGCTTCGAAGATCAGCAGGTCGTGTTTGAAGCCTCCACGCACAAAGTACGTTTTGAGAGCTACAGTTCCTGGCTAGCTAGCCTGTGGCATTGTCCTTCATCAAAGATGAACTTCAAGGAGGCTTCCTGCCCGCAGAATCTAAAATTTAGAGGCAATTTGCACTCAGAAGCGGGGTGCACTCTTGGCCTTGTGTCATGCAGCCCTGGAGTCTTACAGCCGAACACATGCCCTCAGCTCTGAAACGAAAAAAACCGAAGCGAAGACCGAAACTACACACAACCCCCAAATTCTGAGCACTGCCCGGAAAAGCCCTGCATAACCCCTAACCTAGCTAACCGGGGCGTTAGGCGGCGGAAGGCCCATTGGAAGGCCCAGCAGAAGGCGCAGCGGCGCGCTGCTTCGGCTTCGGCTTCCGCGCTCTTTCCAGGGGCGAGGGCCCCGCCGTGTGGTTGGCTCCGTTATCGACGGGACTGAGCTCCCACCTGGGCGGCAGGCGGAATATCGCGTCACTTCTCGGCATATCTCTGGTTCCGAGTCTCGGAATATCGAGTCCTGAATGGACGCCCTAAGCCCTGTATGCCTCCATATTCGCCTCTTCAATGCTTTGCTCTCCCGCACAACTAACTCCCAAGCCTGATTAAATGCAAAACCCCACACCAAACCGTACATCAATAAAGCCTTCAGCCCTAGCTTCCTAAACTTCCCAAGCCCTAAATCTCGAGACCCCCCAAGCCCAGCAGAACACACACCCGAAACCGTGCACGCCCCACAAACCCACTTCTGAAACCCGCTAACCGTTAATCCCGAAACCCTACAGACCTGAAACCCTGGCTCTTGTTTACTACTTTGTTTACACCTGGACTTTGTCTATGCTGGATCCTAAACCCTAAACCCTGAAGCTTTTCTTACAAAAAAAGCCCCGAAACCTTTATCGTTTTGACGAAGCAAAGGTTACCACCACAGGCTAATACATGGGCCTTAATAACTGTTGTTATTAGCTTTAGGGCGTGAGGGGGGGCTCGAACCGCGCAAAGA